TCATTAAGGTGATAAAGCTCTCTTGCATATGAGTTTTTTTTTTTTTTTTTTTTTTTTTTTTTTTTTTTTTTGAGGAATCTTGCATATGAGTTTGTTTTGCTCAACTTACCATATCCATACGGAGTCTAGTATATTACTGTTAGCATTAATGTAAGTTGAGTGATTAGATTAATGTTAACAGTAATATACAAGACTCCGTATGGTAAACATGTCATTTTGGACCTAATTGTATGAATTTGTGTAGTTCAGGGACTCAATTACATTTCTTTTGAGTTCGATGACCTAATTGCAGTTTGGTGTGCACTTCAATGATCTATTTGATCCTTATTCCAAAAAAAAAAAAAAAAAAAAAAAACAATTAATGAGTTTTTTTTAATGTTACTGACACTGTTACAATGTAGTATCTGTTCATAACTACTTTCTCCAACCTACTAAAGTATAAAGAGTCAATACTGCTCCCACGGGAGATCAAATCCATGACCTCCCATTTAAGAGAGTCACTCCGTACCACTAGACCACAAAGTCATTGAAATTAGTATGACAGCCTTAAGTTGAAAAAAAAAAAAAAAAAGAGTTTTGAATAATTAGGGTTTTGTAACCATGTTTTCAGATAATTTAATTAATATATAAACAAAATATTTTAACCACAAAAAAACTAATGATTACATGAATCCATTCTCTTTTTAACTTTCCAGTCCACCAGCCTTTGCAGATCCATGATAAAAAGAAAAACAACTTGCGTATTCCCCATGCTAATAACTGAAAGTGCGACTCTGATCAAAGTTAAAGAACAATAATTATTATATTGATACCTTCAATTCACAGCATACTAACTAGAACCAACCCATCCATGTAAAATGCAATTGGAAAAGAGGGTATTATTAGTATTTAAATACAATGACAGAAGAGATCAAAAAACATCACAGAACAAATAAGATTAGCTTCAAGATGTCTGTCCATATATATATATATACTTAGCTTACAAGATTATATTGGTCATACTAAGAACTATAGTGTTGTTTTATGTTTTAGTATGTACATGAGTGTGTGTGTGTGTGTATCTGTTGATGTCCTTCAGTCTGGTGTTTGACAAGAAAACACTGAAATGATAGATGGATCAATCAAGAGGGCAGGGAAGACTTAGCTTGTACAGTTTTTAATTTACTTCAGAAAAATAGAGAATAATGAATGCATAAAGAAAGCAAGAAAATAAAATGATTTTCTTCCTATATAAGCATTGGTCCTCTCTTCAAAAGAAGCACACAAAGAGTAAAAGAAGACAAGTGAAGCAAAAAGAACACACCTTTCTGCTGCCTTATGCTGCCAGCCTACTCTTTTCTGGTTTCTTCCTCTTTGGTGAAACTACCCCTCTTGCCTCCATTTCCTTAACAATAGCCCCTCTCTTAAACCTTCATTATTTTAGTGAGATCTATCTATCTATCTATCTATCTGCAGTTATCTTTGTTAAAAGCTAGCAAACCTTAACTTTCCCTTTTGCCACTTCTTTCTTGCCTTCTCTTCTGCCTCCAAAGTGCCAAAATGGAAGCTTTTCATTCCACAATTGGGATGCCCTTTCCATATGGGTTTCCCACCACAGTAATGAACATGTGTGGGACCACAAACCCCATGTCCTCCACCCCTTGGATGGATAGTAGAATTTGGAGTAGGCTCCCTCAGAGGCTGATAGATAGGATCATTGCCTTCCTTCCCCCACCGGCTTTTTTCCGGGCTAGATCAGTCTGCAAGAGATGGTATAGCCTTCTCTTCTCCACCACCTTTCTTGAATTGTATCTCCAGGTATCCCCACATTGCCACTGGTTCATATTCTTCAAGCATAAGAGCTTGAAAAGCTTCATTTATAGGAGCAACAACAGCACTACTACTAGCAGTGGATATGATAATAGAGCAGTGTATGAAGGGTACCTCTTTGATCCCCACACGCTTACATGGTACCGCCTTTCATTCCCTTTAATCCCACCTGGGTTTTCTCCGGCCACTTCCTCCGGTGGGCTGATCGGTTGGGTTTCTGAGGAGGCTGGCTCAAAGAACATCCTTTTATCCAATCCCCTTGTTGGGTCTTTGATCCCAATTCCCCCAACTCTAAGGCCTAGGCTCTTCCCTTCCATTGGACTAAACATCACAGACTCCTCTATAGATTTGGCGGTGGCCGGTGACGACTTGATATCCCCCTACGCCGTCAAGAATCTAACGACGGAGAGCTTCCACATGGACGCAAATGGGTTCTACTCCATATGGGGCACCACCTCTTCTCTCCCGAGGCTCTGCAGCTTTGAATCGGGAGAGATGGTGTACTCAGAGGGGAGATTTTACTGCATGAATTACAGCCCTTTCAGCGTCCTCTCCTACGACATTTCGTCGAACACCTGGTGCAAAATCCAAGCCCCGATGCGGCGGTTCCTCCGCTCGCCGAGCCTGGTGGAGAGCGGAGGGCGGGTGATGATGGTGGCCGCCGTGGAGAAGAGCAACCTGAACGTGCCGCGAAGCCTGCGGGTGTGGGGCCTGCAAGATTGCGGGACGGCGTGGGTGGAGACGGAGAGGATGCCGCAACAGCTGTACGTGGAGTTCGCAGAGATTGAGAAGGCGCAGGGATTCAACTGCGTAGGGCACGGGGAGTTCGTGGTGATAATGATCAAGAATTCCGACAAGGCTCTCCTGTTTGATTTCAGTAGAAAGAGATGGGTGTGGGTCCCTCCTTGCCCCTTCGTCCATCAAGATTCAACCTTTAGCGGCGGCGGCTATGGAGATCAAGGCGGCGGCGCTGGCGGCGCTGGAAATGAGTTGCATGGCTTTGCTTATGAGCCTAGACTAGCTGCTCCAGTAACTGCACTTCTTCATCAGTTCACACTTCCCTTTCAGTAGTCTTTCACTGGCTAGTTAAGCAAATCACTGTACTGCATGGATCCTTTTCATTTTTGACGACTACGTGTCATAATATTATTAAGTACTAGTAATTGTTTTTCTATTAGCCTGTTAGGTTGGGGTAAGTGTTTTAGCCTTTAGCCTTTAGGGGGTTAATTTTATCTGTGTAAGTTCTAGATGCCTATCCGTGCAACTATGATTATCAAATATAGTAATTAAGTGTTGGTTAGAGTGTCACCACCATGAGTTCGGACGTTTTCCTTTTCCCGTGAACAATGAGAATTGCTTACTGGAATTTGGTTATTTGTCTGATTTTAGATTATTTTAAAGTAATCGATTTTATTGTTTTTTATTAAACACCGTTTTATGTTTTTGTCCAAGATTTACAACACTGTTCATGTTCTAGATTTCTCCGGTTTGTTCGAATTTCCTTGTTACGGTACTGTTGATGGTTTGGCGTTTGCGTAAAGGATAGGGAGACAACCGGCGTTGACCATCTCCCTTGGATTTTACGTAAATGACAAATCCTTTGGCGGTGGCTTTGTTTGGTTCGTCGACGACAAGAAGTTCCGGTAACCGGCGTGTTCAAGAGATGCGGTCACGTAGGTGAGATGTTCTCTTGATGGCGGCTAGTTGCTCGGTGGCGACCTATCTGCCTCCGTTTCATTGGGTTCTCTGACGACCTTATGGAATAAGGAGGTGAGGGGAAGCAGAGGCTCTTTTCCGGCGATTTTAAGAAGGCCCAAAGGAGTTCCGGCGACAAAGTACTGTAGCTTTCCCGGTGGCTTTTGCGATGGCGTTCTTTACCCCAACCCCCTTTGGCGACTTGTGCAAGCCGGCAACTGCTCCCAGCGGTGGTCTCTTTCCGGTTGTCCTGTTCCGATTTACGGGGGTTCATGGGGTGAGTTCTCTGACTGTATCACCACCGATGGTAGAAGTCCTTTCCGGCGCTAGTATTACTCCCAGTGAGTTCGCCTCTTCATGCTTGATCCCGGTATGTGGTTTTGATGCTCTGAGTTGGTGTCTAGAGTTGGACAGTATTGGAGATGGTTTGGATGAATCCAGCCTCGGTCCAATGGTCCTTGTTTTTTCCGGCCTTTTTGCCTTTTTGGAGTGTTGCCGTCCGCGTTTGGGTGAGGGAAGGGGCGGTGGATTCGTTCTGGATGGGGTCTGGCGTCAGGTATGGCTTTTTCCGACGCTGTTTTGCAGATTTTCAGGTGCTTCCGGAGAAAGGTTGGTCGTTTTTCCGGTGGAAACTATGTCACCGGCGGTTCTCCAGTCGCTGGCCGGTGTCTTGTCGGTGGGTGGCAGCGGAGCTCCGGGGATGTATCCGGCGTTGACCGTCGGTGATCTCCGGATGGTAACGCGTCATTGCCGGTTTGGGAGGTGACTGGATTTGGTATCTACCGGATTTTGTGGTGATTTGATGCTAACCGCGTCTTGATCGTCGCTGATGAAGGAAGGTGCACGTGCATGGATTTTGGATGCAGAGACCGGGTCGACCCGCTTAATAGCGGGCAGACCCGTTGCTTGGCAATATGAATAAGTGTTGTTCCTGGTTCATGTTTGAGCAAGGTGGACTCCGTGGCTAGATGGTATGAGAGCTTGGATATGAGCCGTATGGCGTGGGGTCGAGTCTCTCTCGGAAGGCGGAGGATGTTTATTCATTTTCCCTCCCGTTTGTAGACGTTTTGCTATTACACGTCATATTTTATCTTGTGAGCTAAGGTTCTAAAGGTCGAGTGTGGTGCAGTGGCAGAATGGGCGTATTTGGGGCATTTGGCCAGGGTTCGTATCTGCATGCAAGATTTGTTCGGATTCAGTGCTTTGCTTTGGCATTTTTCGTGCATGATTTGAGACACATAGTATGGTGCACCTAATAGACTTAGCTTATTTTAATTAATTTTGCTTAGTTCAATTGGGTTAGCCGAGTTTGGATTTCTTGTTTGTGGTTATTATTTATGCGTTTTATGTAATCAGGGGTATGCCCCGATGTTACATGTATTTGGACTTTTGATTTATATTTACATTTCCGATTTCATGATTATCAAATATAATACTAGAATCTGCGACTGTTGTAGAACAGTTGCTAAATGGCATTTACAACAGTAGCGGATGTGTAGATCTGTACTAGTGGTAGTAAACACCTTAAATCTAATTAATTTCAATTTAAATATAAATATTCTCTCACAATAGAGTGTATTTCGAAATCCTAAATAGTTTCTAACTCCAAATTCACTCTTATAGTACGAGACAAATTCATACCACTGTTCTTGATAAGGTTTGAACTTGCACATTGTGATTGCCAGCAGATCGAGTAGGTGATTAACCTTACTTTGAATTGGTCAGCCAACTGAGATGTGGTTCCGGGTGAATATATGTGTCTCTAATCTTGAATGTAGGGCAGATGTGATGTGCGATGAAAACAACTCCTCCCTCAAATGCCATCTAAAATGCTACATACAGACTCAGATATCCGTGAGGCAAAATTCTCATCAGCGGTGAAGATCACAGTTCTTTCTGCTGTAACTTCAATCAACGCTTCATTAGGCTCCGAGACATGTATTGTGGAAGAACTTAGACTTTGTTCTATGGTTGCTTTGATTCCCATCTTCTGTAATGCAGCCACAAGCGAGTCCGGGTTGGTCCTGCCCCAATACACCACCGGCCTAGTTTGCGTCGATATTTTTTGATCATTTCCGATTACCAACTCATACTTCCCCCTCTCCATGACTAACTCTCCCTTCAATCTTGCGATTTCCTTGTCTTCTTGAATGGACTTTGTGCAATGGAGTAACCGGGAAGCCAGATCGACACCAAGACGTAGCTCTGATGAACCCGGCTTCAGCTTGGGTATAACCAGAGCCTCCTTTTCAGAGAAATAGCTAAAGGAATATGTGTGGTTCAAATGGCTAAAATGTGATCTCAAAGTTTCAGGAAGCTGAACAAAACAACAAAAATTATTTGAGATAATAGTCATTAGTATCTAGCAGTGCACAATGTATAACAAACGAAATCATGTTCACAAGATTACCAGAATGTGCTTTGGTTGCAGTGCTTTCAGTAAATATGGAGCTTTCTTTAGACTACAAAAACGTATAAATATAGAACACCAGTTAGAAGGCACCAAATGAAAGAGCTTAGAGCTCGATAGTCGATACAGATATGCACAAGAGAGAGAACCTTACTTTATTCCAGAAAGAAATGAGCACTGCAGGACCTTCATTGCCATTGGCTTGAAAGGCAAAAAAGCCAAATTGGCATCAGCTCCTTCCTGGAAAAGTTCAAATGTAATAATCAGCATATTATGTAGTAAACACGAGTTTATTAATTATGGAGTAAACTGCAGACAAGAAAGCACCTCCATAACAAGCAATGAGTTTGGATCTGCACACCAGCGGCGAAGCAAATGAACAACGGGTCCTAATCGCAGACTCCAATGCGGACAAAATATTATACAAGGTTCCTGCCAACTTGTTCTATGCACAGAACATTAGTCATATAAAGTTAATAATGCTGATATATGATGAAACAATAGAAGTTTTACTGAAACATACGAATCACACTCTCCAATAAAGTAACATTTCCCCAAAATATATACATTCAAGCTAATGCATATAATTACAAGTTGTCCACTACACAGGAAGAATTTATCTTACAATAACTCTGGAGAATGAATTGCGGGAAACAGCTGGAGCCTTTTGCCATTCAACAGCTCAACATGGGAAAATAAAGATTCCCCAGCATATAACTACAGGACCCATATAAGTGGAAAGTTAGCCTCAAGTATTATTCCCTAGAAAAGGACATTAAGACAATTTTAATCAGATAAGCACTTAAATAGCATACCCTGTCTTGTCTTTGCTTGCACAACCATTCTGGTATAATATTTGAAAAGGCCAATAACTCTTTAGCTACAGAAGAAATAAAAAATATGGGAACCTAAAGAAGAATGAAAAGTATCAAATTCAAAATCATTAGATTTAAAGGAAACAAGATCTGAAATCTGAATTTAGTATTAGGCTAAGAAATAATACTACAAGACTGAGCCAATTTTTTCTCAATGGAGTGCAATTCAATGGCCTAATCTTAGTAAAATTTATAGCAAAAGGCTAATTCTTCAGTTTCACATCTCCTTCATTTAATAGAAAACATTTAAAAAGAAAAAGTAAATTACAGTAAGCAGCCTGCTTTCTGACCCTTCTGATATGCTAGACATCAGTATCCATCTAAAAAACTGTTAGCGTTTATGAATAAATACCTCTGTTAGAAACATACCTTCAAATTTGAAGATTCTAAGGAAAGTCCTACATTCTCCAGCAGCTGCAACATAATACCCGGTCGTCCAATGGGAATAAGGACTGATCCTCCAGCATTAACAGAGTCCAAAACACATGAACATAGAAAATCTATTTTCTCCATCTCTTCTGTGTACTCACTAGAATCAAGCAAGTATTTGGCTGTCACTTCCAAAGAAAAATCACTGCTACTGCACAAGTTTGTCCAAATTTAAGAAAATTTTAGTTATCCCTCCAGTGAATATTGGAGTGGAGGGAGAAAGAGTAATTACAGCACAAATCATAAAAATGCTATACATCTGCATGAATCAGGCTGTGTGTCTGACATATACATAAACATCCCGTAGCCCGTAGGAGGTACCTTGAATTGGAGGAATCATTACAAGCGGGCATACATCTACTGTTGTCACCATCAACATTGTCAACATCCGAAGGTGCATAGCCAGAGTATAACAATACATCACTTTTTTGAAGAGAAAAATAATCAAAACTCATTGCAGTTGCTGATGCAAAGACAGATCCTGAAAGATATGTGATGCTTCCTTTTGGACTGACAATGGTCCAATTACAAGCACCAATCTCTAAACCAGAACTGAATGCTTTTAAGCTTAAGGTGCCACTATAGAAGGTTTCTTCGGCATATTTAAGAGACTGAACCTTCTGTATGCAACTCTTGACTTCTGCTGCACTGATAAGATTTAGGTTTTAGATCCTCAAGCATAAATACCAGCAATTCGGCTAATGGGTACCCAATTCTTTTCTTAAGTCATAGAAACCAGAATATTTGGGAACGCACATGAAAACTTGGATGAAAAAAAAAAAAAAGTGAATATATATATATATATATATATATATATATATATATATATATATATATATATATATATATATATATATATATATATATATATATATGTATGTATCACAATATGTACAACAAATTCCAATCAAATTATAAAGAGTAAGAAAAATTCATGTCACTGTGGAAAAGAGGTGAAGAATAAATAGAATTTTGCTATTAGGCAAATATCATACTATTACCTGTAAAATGGCATCCACCCACCAAGATCTATCCCATGTTTGCCCAAAACTATCTCCTTCAGTTCCAAGGGAAGCAACTCAAGTTTTTCCCAATTCATCCATTCTGGGAAAGCAGACTCTTGGGCTCCATAGAATTGCCTCAACTCCATATGGATAGCAACAAGGTCCTCCATTATTAGCTGACCAAGTCTAGCAGCAGCTTCTGTTGCATATATCTGATAACATAACACATCACACTATTTTCAATAAGCAGGAAATAGGGATAGCTGAAACGTTAACTAAGCGACAAGTTCAATTTTTTTTAATTACCTTCGCAGAAAAGTCTTTGTCACGAGTAAGATATGGTAACCCTAGCAAGCCCATTGGACTTGTGATCAACACAACATCTATGAAAGATGTATTGAAAAGGTGCAACCTTTCAACAGTTTTATACCATGGTTCTGCATGTATTAAACTTGTGGCATCAAGACATTTTCCAGTCTGTGATACAGACTCTGAAGAATGATGACCTCCCAGGGCAACAATTTGTCTATCAAGCAAGGAAGGTGGATCAGTTGGCAGTGGAGAAAAGACTGAAAGAGCTGAAAGGTCCAAAGGGCAATCAAATAACACCTGGAAACCGCAAATGTTGAGAATGTGGCATGGTGGGAAATGATAACCCTGACCCTTGCTCAAACATGTCTGCACACAGGTTGAATCCATAAATGAACACAACAAGAGTAATTCTACACCCAGCAGGAATGAACAATGAAACAAGTTTTTGAGAGGGGAAAGACTTACAAGCTTCATAGGGCTTAAGGATAACCAAGTCAGTGCTAAAGTTCTCCTAAACCTGTATAAAAATAAAATAAGTAAATAAATAAGGCAATTATAGTGAGAAATAAATTCTGAAACAATGTACTTGTATAAATGTAGGCTCTCATTTGTAGAAAGGGGCCATGAACTTTAACCAGAGAACTCCACATTTGCTCCACAAACTGCTATGGAGAGAATTCTACAACAAAATTGTCAAAATTCCTCCATGAAACGTTACATATACACTATAAAATTCCTCCACAAACTTTACACTATAGATAATCAAGACTCAACTTTTTTACAGGCTACTTTTTAGACTAATTCTAATGATGGAGGAATTTTTCTGTCCTGTTAAAGTTTTTAGAAAATAATTACGAAAAAAGACAATATGAAATTTCAATGAGAAGTAAACTCTGGAATTATGTACTTGTTCAAATGAACTGATCAATTTCCGCAAAGTTGTATACTGCTACCCAACAATTTTCACCAATCTCTAAAATAGATAACAAAAACCAAAACATACGAGTAAACTTATCCCAATTTACAAACAATGATTTATTGCTTAGAGCTGTTTACATATAGCTATATATGCTGCAAATGTTGGTAAAGTAGTGACAATATTTTTATGGCATTTATTTTCATCACAAACACATTTTTGGTGGTGATGCTATTGTGAAGTCCATTATGATTTGCAATGTTTCCGGACGAAATAAAACTTTTTGTCTATTTTTGTTATGAAAAATTTAGTACAATACTTTTTCCCTTACTGGCATTTATCTAGTGAAACTGTATACTTCTATGTCAAATTAATGTGTGGCTAAATAAAAGCATAGTTATACATAAACAATACATCAAGCACCTTATAGGCAATATGGACTTTTCAGTTAGCCAGAAAATTCCGGGCGAGGAAAGAATGCAGAAAAAGGATTTTGATAAAATGCACTGATCATAAGCGAAATACTTCATTCTTACCGTGAAAGCCAGCAAATTTCCGGCCGGAAGTAGCCTGAAAGTCTTTGGCTCTGATTCCAAGCTGCAACAGATACACTCTTTCTGAAGATTCAGTCTTTGCGAAGATCCCGTGGGATTGGTACCGGTTCCAGGGGGTAAGGCCGAACTAGTTCTGGCGGGAAAACAAAAACGCTGCCCTGCTCTTGCTGCTATGGAGTAACAATTCAATGCTCAATATATCTGTTTTTGCTGGGAAAAAAAAAACATTATTTATTGAGAGATTGAATTTTTAAAAAATGATAAAGTAAATAAATATAAAAAGTATTCCGTATATAAAATAGTTTTTTTTTTTTTTTAAGTTTGAAAATTAAGTTTTTTTTTTTTTTTCATATTTCATTTCCACGTTTCATAATTAAATTTGAGCTAGATCATGAATGGGCATAACATTAAAATAATATTTAAGTTTTCCATTTTATAAATTTTGATTTAAAATAGGTAAATAATCATGATATTTTAAAGAGTAACGCTATACATCTTTCTTAAAATTTTCTTCATTATTTTTTACTATGAGGTAACATAATTTAATTGATTAAGTTAGGGGTGACATTTTGTTTGGGGTTATCCATTTCAATCTGAACGATTAGATTTTGATTTATTGATAAAACTGATTGATTTTATATTTTATAAATTGAATAGTTTTAGTTCGGCTCATTTAAAAATCGAACCAAACCAGGAAAAAAAAAAAACATTCATACATGTTAAATAATTGTATATTTTATTTATTACCAAAATGCTTGTATATTTACAAATTTATCCAAATGTATATACTAAATGTTGTTCTTTGTTCTCAATGTTGTTTTGGTGAGTTTGTGACATTGTTGTCAGATGACAGATGCAAGTGAAGAAGTTGGTTCAGTTTGGACTTATTTTAGGTTGATAAATTTGAAATATGTATCGTGGACTTGTTTTAATTTTTAAATTTAAAATATTAATGAAAATAAATAAATAATTATGTGCGCAAGTAAACTAGCTAGAAAATACTTAATAATAATTTCTAATCTTAGCTATTTAAGTACAATTATAGATTTTTTTTTAAAAAAAAATACAATTATAGATGGCAATGACCTTGTGGTCTAGTGGCACAAAATTTGTTTTTAATAAAATAGTTATAAACATATACTGCATTGTAACAGAGTCAATATAACTCTAATTTTTTTTTAAAAAGTACAATTACATTGTACCATGTACTATTTGAAACAATTACTAATGTAATAAAGTAAAAATGTTTGATATACATGATTGCACGTACATGTTATTAACGCAAATCATTACAAAAAAAAAAAAAAAAAAAAAAAAAAAAAAAAACCTTTTAAACAAAATATATTATTATAATGAGTATTATTTGTATCAATATCGGTTTCCTTAATTAATGTTTTAAATACAGTTCCTTACACCTTTCAAACTAAAAACAAACACATTAAAAAAAAAAGAAAAAAAAAACAACAAAAAAAAAACAAACAAACAAAACAAAACAAAACAAAAAAAACAAATATAAGCCATGTAATCGCACGTAAACTGCACAACATGTAAGAGCATCTCAAATTGTTTGATTTTTGCGCAAATTTTAGGAAGCTATGTAGGATATAGAAAAAAAAATGGAAGAGAAAAAAAAAAGAAAAAGAAAAAAAGATTTTGACAAAAAAAAAAAAAAAAGGAAAGCAACGGTAATATGTCAGAGTGGCCGCCAGCTAGCACACTCAGACGCGCCCCAGCAAGCGTGTGAGGAACACGCGCTCGGTGGGGGCATTTCCGACTTTTTTTTTGTTCTTCTCAGCAAATCATGAAGTTTAACCAAGAAAAGAAAAATAAACCATTACACAAAAAACTAGATGCTCACATTTTTCATGTTCCAAAAACCAACAAAACCCCCTAAGTCAGGCTCTTCATGTAGTTTTATTTTTTTTTTTATTTTATTTTTTTTTTTTTTTTTTTTTTTTTACAAAGGAAGGGGGACACCCACATATACACAAGATTCACCTACACCAAAGCTTGAACACTAAACCTCCCACATAAGGGACCAAATCGGATACCAGTGGACCACAAGCCACTTGGTCTAGATATAACTTTATATTTGAATATTTGATTAAAACCAAATATCTAGCTTGTTAAATGTGCAAGTAGCAAATATTATCTGATTTGGCAAATCAAATATTCTCATTAGGGATACTTCTTACCAATTTTACATGAGGATGAGCTTTTATAACTCATAATTTAGATATTAATTATTTTGCGGTTAAATATTTGTTTATTCATGCCCATGCATGACTTAAATATCACCATCTTAGCTAGTGGTCTAAACACGACATTTGGGATTTGAATACTAGTATTTCATAAGTTGAATTCCAACTTCTACTTGGTCTATGATAATAATAATATTATTATTTTTAGAGTTAATCAATGATTTGGTCCCTCAATTATTAGCGAACGGTCAATGTAGTTTTTCAATTGCTTATTCATCGATTTGGTCCCCGAAAGTAATTGTTTTTAATCGATTTAGTCCTTCCGGCCGTCTTTCGTCAACCAGCCGGTGAGAACTCCAATTTAGCAGGGGCATTTTGGTATTTTCTTGTCTTCAGCCCTCTTCTTATCACGGTGGCCACCTCGACGAGACGTGGCAACTCTTGTCTAGACCTCCGGCAACAAAGTAGAACCATCTCGGATATCTACTCGCATTAAGTCCCAGATTGTGGACGTATCCACCGCACCCGGGTTCGGTTGATTCACCACGAAGGAAACAAAGGCCAGCAGGGGTGCATTGGTGGTCTCAGATTGATCAACGGGGCCTTCCATCGACGTCACAGCCTTCGTAGAATCGCAATAGGCGATCTCGGGATCGCGATTTGCGATCGTGTCGATGATCGCCGAGATGGCGAGTGAGAACGGCGATCGCCTCGCCGATGGGTGACGAAGTCTGGAGGGCGTCTCCGAAGACCATCGCCGGTGTCAGTGGACATGATCGAGTGCACGATCGTCGACTGGTTTGCGAGAATCGAGACTGGTAACCGTTGACTTGACAGTTTCGCGAAGTCTCGATCACCCTAGTCCGATCGCCGATCACAACACACTGCCTCATCTATTATTTTGTTTTGTTAGTTTTTTTTATTATAAAGAAATTGGTCAAATAAAAAAATAAAATTAATTTATTATACAAGCTTAATTTGTTCTGACGTGACAATTAACCTTCAAATAAACTTATTTTATTAAATTTATTTTAACGATTTTAAATAAAATTAAAAAAACAACTCCTTTGTTTCTGCGGATAGACAAAGTGTCAATGCTGTTAAAACAAATTCAAAAAAATTATAATTTTAAAGATTAATCACCAAGTCAATAAGGAATCCGAAGTTCATTCACTTTTAGTGTAGGAATTAAAATTACAAATTATTTTTGGTTTAGTGGTATGAATTTAAATTGTTTAGAAAATTAATTGCAATTTTTGGGTTGAATAACTAATTAAATTATATTTTTGTGTATAGTTTAATAATCATTTGAGTCATTGACTCTTGTTCCAAAAATATATATATATATATATATATAATCATAATTTATATAATATAAAGAAAATAGGAGGAAAAAGGGAGAGAAGAAACAGTTGAATGAGGAGACAAGGGGAGTTGAGAAATAACTACCCTTGTCAGAACGCAAAAGACCCACCAAAGTCTTCCTACCAATAGACTCAACCTTGAAATGTGAAATTCCGAAGCTAATCACAAAACCCTAACCCCCATTTTCTTCTTTTTCTGCTCTCCGAAATGCTCAACTGTTTCCTGCTCTCTTTGCTCCTCGCAATCTCCTGCCTTCTGCTTCCATCCGGGGCTTCATACTCTGTGAGTCAATGCCATACTCGTTCACTGTTCTATTTCTTACCTTTTTTTTTTTTTTTTTTTTTTTTTAATTTAAATTGTGCAGTGGAATTGGGGAAAAAGGGTATACTTTTGTGTATGTAGGTTAAGTTCGACGTGTAATTGAAGTAATTTTAGAGGATTTTCCAGTTTTACTTATCATAAGTTTCCCTTTTCAGGTTTCTAACTCCTCTCAAAACCTAGCTCAAGTTAAAGGTAAGATTTTTATTTATTTATTTTGAGTGCTACAAAATTTTATTTTTCTGCTGCTTGTTGAGATAATTTGAGAACTTGATTATGTCTGTGACACAAAGCGATTTAGTTTAACAAAATATTATCTTTGTGTATGCAAGTGAGTGGAATGGTTAGAGAAAGTATGGGAAAGATTCTAAGCGAATCAAGTTTATCTGTTTATATTGCTTCTTTCTCTGTTTCTGATATATGTGCTTATGGAGAATAGGGATGGTAACAGGGTGGGGCAGGGAGTACACTACCTGTCCCCAAACCACCGCCCAGTTCCTGCCAGAGAATGGAAATCTTTCCCATCCTCCATCCCTGCAGGGAATTTTGTGAGACAGGAAAATCTCCACCCTCGGTCAACCTCTAGTTAAACTAGTACAATTCTTAATATTTATGTAAAGAAAAATTCAAAATATTAAGTTTTTAATCTTAAAATACTTCAAATTTCATCGAATTCTCAATGACAACCAAAATGCCAAATACAAAATACAAATAGTCTTCAAGCAAATAAGAACACAAATACACAATTACAAAATACTAACACATCTAATAGCTGAAGCAAGAGTCTTGACTCTTGATAGATGTGCAGTTGTGTGAGGACAATTTGAGCAAGAATTTATCTAAAATTTGTCTTCAAGTGTTGTACGTTACTAACTCCAGGGCTTTGGTGATGATAGGTCTTATATAGGAGATACTGAGATAGGCCACAATGTTCAACAATCAATATACCTTTTAAATAATGTGTTTCTTGGGAAAGCATGGCAAATTTCTTATCTTTAGTTCTTTACAACAAGGAATTATCAATAAAATTTAATTCAAACATTTGAGGAATCCAATGCGCTGGAATAGGCCCCTTTTGTCACAACTGTAGGTGCAATTTTTCTGAAAACCAGAATGGATAGTGAATGCCTTTTTCTCTGACTATATTCTAGTCTTGATTGTCTGTGAGAGGATATGGCACCAAAAAGCTGTGGAGTAACTTTTGTGTTTAATATCTTCAAATATTTCTCTCTCATTGGGATTAAATATTTGATGTGCCTGAAAATTATATTACAATTATTTAAGGGTATGTATTCTATCCATTTGCCTAGCTCATTCTGAAAAGA